GAGGCATATGACTTCAAGAACTTCTTAATATATCAGTACAGTTGAACAACCGCTAACGGATAACTGCCATACGCAGACATGTCCCATAAGCAGACAGGTAGCAATGGTCCCAGCCACAATTTACAAACACTATATTTTTATACTCCCGCATGCACTGAGACACCTCTCTTATGTAGAGGGTCGTACAGGGAGGGGGTCTCTGGCACGGTTCAGGAATGGAAAAAATAGCGAATCACAGATCACAGATATCAAAATTTCATTTTCCTGATTCACAAAAATAAGCAAGTCATATACTCTTTTTAATAACCTGCTCTTACACTAGAAAAACTGTTTGAAGAAAGCAAAATCATAAAAGGCGAAGTCAAGGCTCCATATTGCAAATCGCATACCTAAATCACTCTCAATAGACGTTTCTAGCCATTTGGAGGGCTTGCGTCTCAAAATCACGTAGACTAGAGTGTTGAAATCAAGAATATCAGTTAATAATTCAAGTTCTTCTCGGGTCTCGCAAAACCTTCAGGTCATGGATCATGAGGAATAATTTTTTAAATTCATGTTTCACGGAAAATAAAATCAGCTAATCACGCATCAGGAGAATACCCTGTACAACCCTCTATGCAGACACTTAGTAATGGTCCCAGCCAAATACAAACACTGCATTTTTAACCTCCCATAGGCAGACACCTCTCCAAGACTTATCCTAAGCGTGTCCACTTAATTGCGAGGTTCAACTGTATTTGGATTTTCAAAAATAGAGCAATTATCTTGAAGCACAACTATTAGTCTATAAAGTGAAGTAAAACTGGTCAGAAATTATTGTTATTTTGGAAGAATTATTTATTGATTGCCATTGAATTTGTTTTAGTCCATCATGCTGGCCCATTTTCAGTGGAGGACAAGATAACTTCCAATCATGTCTTTGGCAATTTAATTTATTTTGTAACAATTTATAACTAAACTATAATAACAAACATACTTCTTTATCAGTTCATTGGCATAATTAGTGCCTCATTAGCACCCTCCAATAAATCCACATGTCTTTGATTGAACATAAACTTGGCTGTTAGGAAAAATTAACATAATGTTGCAAATTTGACCACAAATAGATAATTAAAGGTTTTAAATTTTAATAAAAAAAGACTAAAAAATATCAAAAGTTATGTGACCTTTAGGTATATCGACCAAAGATTTGAGCTAATGTAGACAAATTTGCTATCTATGGCAATTTGGTTTTATTGTTGCCAAGCCAGAATGA